AAAGCTACTTGACCACTTTACGACATCCCAGCCTTCGTTTCATGTTCAGTTTACCACAGCTTGACACTTGATTTACTAAAACTGAAGCACACAGAATGTGGTGCAGCTGTGCATAGTAACCCAAAAGCATCTAACTTCAGCTTGCTCAGTTGAGCTTTGACAATAAGCCCTGGGAGTGCTTACGGGTGCGACATCTGCGATTTGACAGTTGCAATTCGCATGACAAGTGGCACCCTATTTGTGTCTATGGAACAGTTCAAATTGGTGCGACTCCGACTTTGCGCTGATGCACCAATTTGGAAAAAAACGGTTCCTGCACTATTTTTTGCAATTTAGTTTCGTCACGCTCATGTGCGACTTGCATAGACGTCTGTGCATGAAGTAGCACAGGTGTCAAGCAAGTCGCACAAAAACAGTTTTGACCTTCAACTCTGCCATCACTTTCACTTGAAGTAGCACGATTTCAAAGTTGCATTCAGTGTGGAGCAGGGATAAAACCTGTGGAGTCTGGTTACTATGCACAGCTGCCCCGCATTCTATTCGCACCAGTTTAAGTAAATCCTCCCCCTTGGCTGGTACTTTTCTTTCAAACCATTGAGAATGGAGAACGGCATATAATGGCTGAGCTAGAAAAAAAAATCAAATGCCCATTGTAAGTGTTAAAGGATCTCCTGATCAGGTTCTCACACAGCTATGTGCAGATAGGGCATCCACACTAAGTAGACAAATCCCAACAAGAGCCTTCACGCCCTACAAATCTGCCTTTGTGGACACACCACACCTATCTATACTCTCAAAAGTTTGTAGTCACCCTACAGAGGGGCTGAATTCCGGTGTTTCCCGTTCTACTACGGTATATAAAGACTAATAATTACAGTTGATTTCCCTACCAAGTGGCAGCAATGTGAAGAAGGTACTTTTCTGTTCCAGCTCAACTCTGTCCTTGCGCACAAAACCAGTACCATTAAGGCCACGTTCACCATTTTGTGAGAAAAAAAAATATAAACTGCACATTTTTTTTTCTCACCTCAAAGAAATAATGTGCATTTATTGTTATCACAGAAGCTCACAGTAGATCGCGGGTGCAATAGCAGGCTCCTGTAGGAATCATGTGTGCCCCAACTTTTGGAGACTCAGTGGGTATAGAAAGTATCAACCCGCCTTTAAAATAATCACATTTTGTTGCTTTGCAGCTGGAAATGAAGACAGACACTTTTTTTGTTTTATCCAGCTGTATTTCCTCACTGCAACTTCTAAAATCCAAGTTAAATATGTAACACCAACAGGTCAAAAAAAAAAAAAAATTCAAAAACAGATTCACAGAGTTGGAAAAAGAAAACCCATCTCTTCAGGGAAAGCCTACCCCCCCCCTGCTAATCAATGAGCCGACCTCACACCCGTGTCAGTATTTTGTTGAACCGCCTTTTGCTTTAATTCCAGCCTTTAGTCTGTTGGGAGAGGGTCTCTACTAATTTTGCACATACAGACTTTGCAAGATTTGCCCGCTTTCTTTGCAGAACTGCTCAAAATTTAGTTGCATTTTATGGTGACCATTTGTGGACTGCAGTCTTCAACTCATTCCACAGACTTTCAATGGGGTATAAGTCTGGGCTCTGACTAGGCGATGCAAGGACATTCACCCTTTTCTCCTTCAACCACTGGTCATTTTTGCTGTATTCTTTGGGTCATTGTCATGTTGGAAGGTAAACCTTCCCACTGACAACATTCTGGCAGATTTTCCTCAAGAAATTGACAGTATTTTGCCCCGTCCATTTTTTTTTCTATCCTGATAAGTGCTCCAGTCCCTGGTGCAGAGATAGACCCCATAACATTATATTACCACCTCCATGTTTTACTGTAGGGATGGTGAGCTGGACTGGATTTCTGCCAGACATATAGTTAAGTGTTGAGGCCAAATACTTCCATTTTAGCCTCGTCTGATCAGAACGCCTTTTTCCATGTGGCCTCAGAATCTTCGAGGTGCAATTTGGCAAAGTTCAGTGGTGACTGCCTCTCTGACCAGTTTCCTCCTGGCTCTTTCATCCTGTTTGGAGCGACATCCTGATCCAGAGGGGTCTGTGTTGGGGGGGCGGGGTGATCTCTTTTCCAACTCAGTGATTGTTTTTGAATTTTTTTCATGATATTTGGTATTGTATATTTCACTATGACGCTGTAAATTGCACTGAGTAAAAACAGCTGGATTAAACTAAAACGGTCTATTTCAGGCTGCAAAGCGAAAAAAAAAAAAATTTGATTTTTAAAAGGGGCCGATTCTTTTCTATATCCACTGTAGGTTTGCAGACAGGGTAGATAAAAAATCAATGATTTTTTTAAAAAAATTTTAATAAAAATAAATAAATTCAGATTTTTTTTATTTAAATTGGATTTTTTTTATTTAGAGCGGATTTTTTTGATTTAAATGCTTTTTGAGGAAAATATATTACCATCCAAAGGTTATTCCATCATGAAATAAAGATTAGTTTTTTAATTATGTAGAATAAGGCTGTATATGTTTAATTTTTTTGGTAAATAAATTCCATGAATCCATTCACAATGTCATGCTCTTCCAGGGTTTTTTGTAAGATTATTGGGCAGTTTCTCTGCCTACAAGATATTATCACAGATGCTTGGTTTACTTTTGCAGTTCTCAAAACTGAATTTGACTCAGCGGAGATCACATGCCTCTTCTTCACAGCAAAAATGTTATAACATGAACAGAGTTAAGAAAAAGACCTTCATCCTAACTTCTACAAACCTATGAATACAGAATCAACCCCTTCAGTGCTAAGTTTCAAGAAGTTCAGTGAATAGAATAGAAACAATATTTTTCTGATTGTTTGGAGTGGAATAGATCTGCACAAGAAGAAAGTGAAACTGAGTGTGAGGAGGAAGGGGCTGACAGTCTAAGTTTCTTAAAATATATATATTTTGTTTAGCCAAATTAGTTAACAAACATGGATGTTTAAGCAAATCACATATGCTGGAATGTTATTGTTTCAGATGAATAAATCTATTTAAATTGTTATTATTAAGGTAATGATTATTTTTCTCCTTCCTAAGTACAACAGAAAAGTTGTCCAAATATGAATGATTAACCTATTAAACTGGGGATAAAAAAACTAATATGAAAAGTTGTTATTCTAAAAATCTTCATCTACTTGTATATTAACCACTTGCCTACCAGGCACTTATACCCCCTTATTTAGCAGGCCAATTTTCAGCTTTCAGCGCTGCCGCACTTTGATTGACAATTGCGCGGTCATGCAACATTGTACCCATATGAAATTTTGATCTTTTTTTCTCACAAATAGAGCTTTCTTTTGGTGGTATTTAATCGCCACTGGGCGCTTTACTTTTTGCGCTATAAATAAAAAAGGTGCAAAAAATTTGAAAAAAAAAAAAAAAGTTTTTTGTTTCTAATATAAAATTTTTCAAACAGGTAATTTTTCTCCTTCACTGATGTGCGTTTATGAGGCAGCACTGATAGGCGGCACTGATGGCATTGATAGGCAGCACTAAAGGGCACTGATAGGCATACTAATGAGATGGCACGGATAGGCGGCACTAATATGCAGCACTGATAGGCGGCACTGATAGGTGACACTGATGATGGGTACTGATAGACGGCACTGACTGGCATCACTGCTGAGCACTGACTGGCGGCACTGACTGGCACAACCGCTGGGCACTGACTGGTGGCACTGACTGGCAGCACTGCTGGGCTGCACTGGTGGGTGGCACTGGTGGGCACAGGTGGGTGGGCACAGGTGGGTGGCACTGCTGGGCACAGGTAGGTGGCACTTCTGGGCACAGGTGGATGCACTGCTGGGCACAGGTGGATGCACTGCTGGGCACAGGTGGATGCACTGCTGGGCACAGGTGGATGCACTGCTGGGCACAGGTGGATGCACTGCTGGGCACAGGTGGGCGGAGTTAGTGGGCGCACTGCTGGGCACAGGTGGGCGGAACTTGCGGGTGGCACTGCTGGGCACCGATCATCAGGGCACTGATCATCAGTGCCCTGATGATCGGTGCCGATCCTCGCTCTGACAACTGCCGGTTCTCGGCAGTACTTTCCTCAAGATCTGACAGCGTGAGGAAAGTGCAGCCGAGAACCGGCACTTGCATTTCCCTCTGATCAGCGTGTCATTGGACACCGCTGATCAGGTGGTAAAAGGCCGCTGTGATTGGCCTTTTACCACATCACGTGATCAGCTGTGTCCGTAGGACACAGCGATCACGGAGATCGCCGGGTGTGCGCGCCCCCTGGGGCGCGCAGGAGAGCGCGTTCTGGTGGGACGTCATATGACGTCCACTCAGAACTGGCCGGCCGCAGTGCAGCCGTCATTCGGCTATCTGCGGTCGGCTACTAGTTAAAGTTATACCAGCAAGAATTAGTCTATGTAGAAAACTAGGATTTAAATCAAGCCTTACTGACTAGTGATTTAAATCGTGATTTAAATCAAATCCACCCTGGTCACAAGCATAATGTAGAGAAGAATGCACATACTCTACCTGCATGTTTGTAAGAGGAGACAGGAGTACATTCACAAGAACACATGAAGTCACACAATGTGTCCAATGTGGGCAGAAAATACAAGACCCCAACAAGGTCAAACACTATAAATACAAATGCCTGCTTTGCCAAAGCAATCACTTTACCCAATGAAAACCATCTTCTAAATGTAAATCTAACAGAAGTATACATATAAGAGCAAATGATGACTGCTTACCTGAGACATTGTCCTGCTTCCTACGATTCAGTTGAATCACCTTTCCTCGGTTCACACCCCTTTATTCAGAAGAAAAAAAAACAAGTGATAGTTACCCACATTGCCACATAAATGCATACATTACAAGAATGGTCAGCAACCAAAACCTTTTCAGGAGAAATAGGATTCCCATACGGTCACACTGCTGCAAGACCAGTCAGTGGGATGTGTGACTTACCTGCATTTCTCACACTTCACAAGGAAGCCATCAGCGGAGGGATTGCAGTGGCACCAGCTGTTGATTCCCTCACCCTCAGAAGAGCTGTCGCTATCCCCAGAGTTCTCTTCTTCTGGTGAGTGAATGCCGTTCACCTCTGCAGCACGGGGAATGATGGCCTGGACTGGTGGGGATGCAGGGGGTGTAGGTGGTGGAGGGGCTCCGTAATTGTGATCCTGTGGGGAATGAAAGGCTTTTAATCCTCAGTTGTACCACGCAAAAGCCATTGGTAAATAACAAATGGTCCTTTCCAACTGTTCTATGTATTCTGTCAGAACGCTGGAGCATAGAGACAAGAAATCTAAAACTGGTTTACAGAGTGCCTGTTCCAAATACAGGACCAGCCTCAAAATCCACTCACTCTCCACTGCACAAACTTTTTATTTTTTATTTTTTTTATTAATTAAGCATCTGCCCACATCCCCATGCTCTGTGCCCCTGGCACCTCCTGGGATATGTGGTGTGAAGACCCCTGGAGGCACCAGAAGCCCCACACATCACCCCATTCAACAGGCCTAGCAGCACATTATTTGTTGGCTGTGCCAAAGCTCAGAAGAGCCAGTGCAGCCGACCAATGACATCACAGATGAAAGTGATGACACGGGACCCATAAACAGCTACCAAGAGGATTGCAGCAGGCCAATGCTGGATCCTGTGTGCGGGTGAATATTTTCACTGTGGCCATCTGAACAAAAGAGAAAATGAACAAAATAAAATAAAATTTAATAGTGGGAAAGGTGAAAACTCCTCTAGGATTAAGCATATGATTACAAAAACAAAAATGTAAGCCAAGGCTATGATCAGTGAATTTTTTATCACTCCTGATGATAGCCAAAGACCAGGGGCGGACTGACCATTTGGAAACTCAGGCACTGCCCGAGGACCCGGGGTCAGTAGGGGGCCCCATGAGATGCCCCTGTACCATTTTCATAGGCTTTTTTCAGTTTGGGCAAGGACACGGGGGCCCCATGATCCCCTATTGCCGGGGGGCCCCATGAGTTGTCAGTCCGCACCCCCCAAAGACTAAAATGCAGGAGGCCCAACCAAGACCTTAATTGCACAGCTTGTATAGTCAGTCAGTCATACATGTGTAGATTTATCTCATTCAACCAATTCCCCCATCAATGCTGAACTGTGTGGACAGAGGAATCTTCCCTGTCAGATACTGTAGTCAAGCAGCGGCAGCACCCACGGCTGGCTGAATACTAGAACAGTAACTGCTTTTTAATAGGTGCAGTCACTGTTCAGCTAAAACTTTCAACTGAGCTTGGAAGGGCCGACAGATAGAATCAGCAGGAATTGGCCAAAATTCAAGCCGTGTATTGCTAGCTTAAACAGGCATATTTTTTTCCCATTTTTGATAGAGTAAGGGAGGGTTACAACCCCTATCAAGATTTGTTTTTGCCATCGGTGTTCCATTGTGGAGATTTCCCTTCACTTCCTGTCCCATAGCCAAACAGGAAGTGAGGAAATCCCTGAAAATTAAGGGAATTCCTTGGGGACCCCCCCCCAGGCCATCAGAACTAGTGTCCCCATTGAAAGATTTCCACTCCAATACTTTTCTGGGGAGGACCCAAAATTTGGGATTTTTTTTTTAGTTTCATTGATAATGGTTTGCATGGCAAATAAAGAGGGTGAATCTCCTTAACGGGGGCACAGACAGCAAAAAAGGGACATGGGTTCTAATCAAATCCCTCTCCACTATCTAAAACTAAAAACAAACCTAAACAAAAAAAAAACACAAAACCTTTATACTTCAATTCTAAATCAGACTGTGAAATAGGATTGTACCATGTGTAGCAAGTTCCAGACTACAGTAACATTCTGGCGCACTGTACTCACCGCATATGGCAGACCTCTGTATCCGTGGCTTTGGCTGCCTGGATAACTATGGGCTGTGTAGATGGTCTTTCCGCTAACTGCTGGACTGGCTTCAACTGATTCAGGGCTAAAAAAGATAGACATTTGTGAATATTCAGATATGCAATCAACTTCAGCACTATACCACTTCTCATACCCTAAGCTTCCTTAATATCAATTCTAGAGACCTGCACAGCCCCAACCTTTATGTTGAAATGTAGAAAACAAACATGTCCTACCGCTAACTTGATTTTTACATTGGAAAACAGAGCATACATAGGGTCTTGGGATAAAAGGGTAAACCCGTCCTGTCATTGTACCCAAGTCCTACCCATTTTACCCATAGCTTAGGGTTGCATTTATCAGAACACATTTAAAGGAAACTTGTACAGGGGAAATATGAAGGTGACCACTGCTGACTTCTCCTTTTGAAAATGCCAGTAGACTTCCATGCTGATCCAATGGCTCCACTGGGGCACTAACCTGGAACAAGTATGCTGATGAGATTCTGCCTACTTTGTGTGTCTGGGTCAGTGACCAAGGAGATACTGGATCAAGGAAGCCAGGCAATAACTATTTTTTTTTTTTTGGAGGTGGCAGGGGTCGCAGCCGCCATATTTCTCTTGGTACAGGTGTCTTTTAAAGACAAAAGAAGCTCCAATTGGACTTCCGTAGCTTCCCAAGCATTCAGACAGTGGAGAACTTTGGTCTAAGGCGGTAACATCGCATTCAAGCTCCAATGTCCAACCGATACATATGAAACATTCAAACACCAGAGTGGAAGGAGGATTGTGATTTCTAATCTCTGAGACAAACATTCATTCATGAATCACCTGAGGCTTGTTGATCATCACTTGTCTATCAAGAATGTCCGACTAAACAGAACAACAAATTTCATTGTTAATTGAAAAGCAAAAGTACATTGTGTACATGAGTTCTCAAATGTAGTAATTTACAAACTCCAATCAGTTTTACCCTCATCAAAAGTTATTGCCATATTTTTTTATTTTTTTTTTTTTACAACTAAAATCAAATTTTACAAGGCACACCTGACTTAACTCCTTCCCACCCACCACAGCCCTTTCAACTGGGTCGAAGCCCCGGTTCACATATGAAGTCATGCGGGCCGGGTTTTGCGCGGGGACGAGAACCCATTCATTTGAATGGACTCCCGTGCCATGAAAGGAAGAAATCCCTGCATGTCTTCCGTAAACGCAGCCCACACGGGAACCTCGGTTCACAGTACGGTTGCGTTTTCCAGTGTGGGCGGCGTGCCATTTGAACTAATGGCATCTGCCCGCGGGTCCACATTTCTCTGTGCGGGTGGTGTGGCTGCACGGATTTTCGTGCGGATCCGCACAGATGTGAACCTAGCCTTAAGGCAGTAGGGTAAAGCGGGCTTCCCAATCACATGACCACTGTGATTGGCAATTGCAGTAACCACATGATTGGGAACCCAATCCATCAGCTCTCAATCATAACTAGAGACCAGGGGGCTGTAGGTGACAGCTTGGTCACTGTGTCATGAGTGCGCTTTTCAGAACATCAGCTGCCATGAATTCTCCTTGCTGCTGTACATATGTTACGTGGTTGGCATGAGGTTGATTCAACCAATCTGTTGAACAATAATCTATCAAGAGTTTTCTACTTTTTATGCGCATAAAAGTGGATTACAATATGCGCATAAAAGTGGATTACACTGCAAGACATAAAATCATACCAAATTTTCAGAAGATGAATTCTAAATAGGATGACATACTGAGGGAAAATGCTGCTCCAGGCTCCCTTAACCCTATCTGTGCGGGTGGTGCAGCTGCAGATCCGCATGAAAATCCGTGCAGCCGCACCACCCGCACAGAAAAATGTGGACCCGAGGGTGGGTGCCATTAGTTCTAATGGCACGCTGCCCGCACTGGAAGACGCAACCGTACTGGGAACCGAGGTTCCCGTGCGGGCTGCGTTTTCCAAAGAAGTGCAGGGACTTCTTTCCTGCGTGTCACGGGCACGGGAGTCCATTCAAATGAATGGACTCTCGTGCCCATGTGAAACGCAGCCTGCATGGCCACATATATGTGAACCGGGGGTTAGTGCTGGTGAAGAGTGTGAAGGACTTGGTAATCCGCCATGTGAAATCTACAGCACACAAGGAATCAAAATTTAGATTGGCCATTTTTAACCTTCAGTAGAAATTACATGACCAAGCAGAGAGGTCTCCACAAACGGTCAGCACTAAACAGAGCCCACAGAAGCATTTTCCTCAGAAACTTGAATATTTCAGCCCATTGATTACTCATTACGTAACCTATCCTAGAAGCACTCTTGGCTATATGTTCAAATACAGGTCTTCTATTATCAGATTCCTACTCAAACAGAAGGGGGTACTTCCAACATTAGGATCTTCAGGTCAGCATTTACAAGTGTGCACCCAAAGTACAGCGATTTGGATTATTGGACTAAACATAACTCGCTGGTCTTAAAGCTTTACACATTAGCCATAAAGCAATATTTCTAACAAGGAGTCATTTACAAGGTTTGTGTCCCTGGACAGTCTAAAGCAGAACTCCAGTCAAATCCATTTCAAGGATGGGGTTGCTTTGTCATCACTGCTGAAGCATTTTCTTACCTTCCAGCGACATGTCAGTGCAACATGAAGTGGTGGGAAACAAAAGTTAACAAAATAAAAAAACCAACCAAATCACAATTCCATATCCTTGCCTCCAGGGAACGAATCTTTATTTACTTGTATTTGTTCCCTGTCAAAGCCAAGTGTAAGGCTAGGTTTTTTTATACAGGATTTATATAGCGCCAACAGTTTGCTCAGCGCTTTACAATATAACGGGAGACAATACAAGAGGGTTAGGAGCAGGGGCGGACTGACAACTCATGGGGCCCCCGGGCAATAGGGGATCATGGGGCACCTGTGTCCTTGCCCACACTCAAAAAAGCCTATGAAAAAGGTACCAGGGGCATCTCAGTGGGCCCCCTACTGACCCCGGGCCCTCGGGCAGTGCCTGAGTTTCCAAATGGTCAGTCCGCCCCTGGTTAAGAGGGCCCTGCTCCCTGGAGCTTACAATCTTTTAGAGCTTTGTTATGTGAAGTGGTTTTAAAACAAAAAATCTTGAGCTTTACAAACATGTTATACTTACCTCCTCTTCTGAGGTCCTCTGCCAGCACTCCTGGCTCTTCCTCCCTTCTGAGCGCCCTCATAGCAAGCTGCTCACTATGGCGGCATCTGTGCAGGCTCGCTCCCAGGTCAGCAGGAGCCAATGGATCAGTTTAATTTTATTTTTTTTAAACCTCAATGCAGGAGAATGTATTAAGGTTAAAAAAAAAAAAAAAAAACACATTAGAACCACTTAAATCATCTTCTGGCCAAAAAAACATTTGTTATCTCTGAACTTAAGTCAGACATTGCAGCCAGCATTTGGGAGGGGGGGGGGGGGGGGGGCTTACAGCTTGAGAGTTCAGCCGAGACAAGGAGAGAATACAAGTAAATAAACAGTACATGTCCCTCTTACACGTTTGGCCTGCAATACAAAGTTAGACAAGGAGAAAAAAAAAACATTTTATTCCCCATACATTTTGCCTCCTTTACATGTAATTCCCTTTTAAAGGGATAGCAGAACGTGCAGTTTCTTAGAACAAGTATCTACGATACACCTTCATATCCCTCATCCATTCAGTTATTGGATAGACACAAGTATTAATGGTCAGAATGTAGCTACATCATGTTGTATTAACAAAAACACAAGTTGCACTGCAATTTGCCTCTAAATACCTTTGCACAGGTATAACACACAAAAACAACACACACAGGCTACCATGGCAGAGGGCAGCGACCACACAAACTGTGTGCTAACCACATACAGAATAGCTGCAAATTGCCTTTTTCTTTCAAATTAAAACTTAAGCAGCAAACAGTAAATAAAGGAGCCGAGGCTAAAAGTTAGTTATATTTAAAATTGGGCTACAAAATTCAAATATCCCAGACAGTCCTACTAAAACACAAGAGTACGTGCTGCATAAATGGTCTAACATAGGGTGGAAAAATATCTGCCAGTAGGTGGCACTCCAAGATCACAGGATTTTACAAATGTCAGACGCAACGCTCACTCTGCGGAAATGAAAAAACATTAATACAGCTGCTATGGTGGTTTGACCAGAAGAATCCTTCTTTCAAAATCACAAGAAGCTCCTTTATTTACAATACAAACCAGACTACTGATATGCAAGAAATGCAGGTAGAGAATACACAGACGGGTTACCAAGGCTTGACTAATTTGCTGAAAGTTCTGCTAAAAGATATTAAAACATAAGGCCCGCTCCACATCTGCATGCGGTGGTAAAATGTATCATTTACCACATTACAGCTCCATGTTAAAGAGTGGCAGGTAATGTGGTGTGCTGTAGCAGAGTAGCATGAATGCACAATCACAGCACACCACGTGCTCATTTTTGTGTATTTAAACCTAAGAACAACAGAATATGTTGCAGCTCTCCAGATCGATTTGCTGATTGCATTTTGTATTCTTCCCTTTAATTTCATCCTGCTGGCAATTCTTCCTCTTCTAGGGCGACACTCGCTGATTTCTCACAGGAAGAGCGTCACCACTAAATCTCCTCTCCATAAGTGGAGAGTGTTCTGTAGTTTGGATGTGGCCTGTATGGCTTGCTTGAGTTAATGGCACAGAGTCCAAAGATATGAGCTCTCTGGGCTTCTGGACTGTTTTTTGCACTTATCGGGGGGGGGGGGGGGGGGGAAAACGTGCACTTGAACACAGCATATCTAAACCACTAGTACTACCATGTGGTAATTTCTTTCCGGTGGCCCTTTAATTGGGCTTTAATGCTGGGAGGCGGAGGGGATTGTTACGATTGGCTCACAGCAGTCAAATGATCAGGAGCTAGTCCCACTTGCACCTGATCAGAAGTCGTAATCGAGAGCTGTCTTAGACCGCTAGGTTAGAATGCTGGGAGCGCACAGGGCGCTCGCTCCCGGAACGCAACCTTAGGCCACCGCTAATGCAGGACTGCCACAAATGTGCATTAAGCAGTTGGTAAGAGGTAAAGCACAGGGGTCTGACGAGGCCCAACACAAACCTGTTAACCTGGTTGGTTCATACTTTGATGTGAAAAAGTGACATTGGGAAAAAATATCCCTGTTACCAATCCAAACAAACAGAATCCTTAAAGTGGTTCTAAAGGCAAAAGGCTTTACCCTAATGTACTGTCTGCATTAAGGTGTAAAAAAAACACACAAAAAAACCACAAAAACACAAAAAAAAAAAAACCTGAATAGAAGCTCCCCCAGCTCCCTCTCAAACACTTACCCCAAATCCATTCATGATCCAGCGCTGTACTAGCTCTTCTCCCCTAGGCTTGGCTGAGGGCAGCAAGTAATTAGCTCCCGCTGCTGTCAATCAAGAAGGGTGCAGGGTTGAGCCAGGCTGTGTGTGTCTATATATGCACACAGCCCAGGCTTGGGAATGAGCCTGCATGAGTGCCCCCTATAGCAACCATTTTGCTATGGGGGTACTCAGAGAAGGAGCAGCAGATAGGGCCAACAGAAGGACCCCAAAAGAGGTGCAAGGCCGCACTGTGCAAAACCACTGCATAGAGTAGGCAAGTATAAAATCTATTTAAAATCTAAAAAAGCGCTGAGTAAACTGTCGGCGCTATATAAATCCTGTATAATAATATTTTAGTTTACAGAAAAAAAAAATAAGTTTACAACCATTTTAAAGTAATATCACAATCAAATGCAGGTCACAATGTCAGTTAATTTATAATGGGCTTGTACCCTGAGCACGGTCTCCGCTATCAGGTTGAAGAGAAGCTCCTTTCCTTTGCAGGGTCCTATGGACCCACCATCACATCTGCACTATCACCCAGGACCAAAACTACGTTGTGCGAGTCAATGAAAACACACAGCCCCACGCAAACCACTCCCTCATTCCCTTCTCCAAGCTAATGAACGGATACTGCTTGCACCAGCTGCCTCAAGAGACAAAATCGAAAAATAAAATATGGAAAATCAAGGGTGTATAAATGCAAAAGCAATACAAAAAATGACTTTAAATGCTGTAATAGCTCAAAATACACCATGCATTCTCTTTAAAGTCCAACGAAACTCATCACTTTAAAATCAACTAAATACATACTAGGGGCATCAAAATGTGATGGCCCAACCTTCCTCTGCTGAGTCAGCACTACAGTCCACCAACCCGAAGAAAAGCTTTTCCAATTACAAAACTAAAATATCTAAAAAGGAGTCAGACCTCTGCAGAGAGACCACCGCTTCCACGCAGAGAAAGGGTCTCTCTAACACATGCCGGCATACTGGTAGAAACAGGTTTTTCCAACTCAATGTGCCCTACTTTCTAAAAAAAAATATAAAGATTAAATGCTCAGACTTTGAGCACTTACTAATTTCTAGGCTAGGGATCCCACTATTCTGATTCAACCAACCCACCCAAAAAAAAATTAAAAGCTTTAACCCCTTTCCCACCTGCCCCAGAATCCTAAAACTGAGCTCCTACTATACCCGGGGGTAGGAAGGTCTGCCTAGTCATGTGACCACTGATTAGCTGTCAGTGATCACATGATCGGGCGCTGGTAATGCCAGTTCCTGCTCATTAGTACAGGCTGAGAGCTATCCGAGTACACTCACTGCACACAAACATCCGTCACCCATAGACACGTGGTTCGTGGGCATTATTCCCACCTTTTTTGTGGTGGACTTCTTTGAAAGCATACCCGCCATTCATACAGACATTTTTTTTCCTCTGAGTAAAGCTTTCAGCATGTGGCCTATTAAGGCAAAAAGTGCCCAGAATGGCTGTTTTCAGTGTACATGGATAAGAAGTATACATGTATTCCAGATAACCGAGCACCACGCTCAGCTGTTACAGTGGGGTTTAAGACATTTAGAGCAAATGTGATTTTTCTATAAATACAGGTTTTCATCTATGGCAAAACACTTGAAAGATTTAGGTTGACAAGCGCTGCATACAAGAACTGGGCTTACTCTGATCCGGCGGCCATGTCTGAGTAGGATGTATCTGGTGTGGTGACTCCCAGAGGGATTACAATGCTCATGACGTCCGGCACTGCGGTCGGAGAGAATCACGGGGTCGGAATCGCAGCGACTGACCACACCGAAGGCGGGGAGCCGCAAAGCCACGAGAGATTCTTCACGGACATGAGGAAACCTGAAGAGGAAAAGGAGGCAAGTTAGCAAGATGAACAAATATGAGCTGAATGTTCAACGTTTACCACAAATTACATTTTATGTAAAATACAGAACATTAAACACAGTTGTCTGTCTATAAATACTGACAGAGGCTCAGGAGCAAGCCCACACCAATGCCCCCATAGAAAGTGGCTTTCTTTGGGGGCACTCGGCAGAGGGGAGGAGCCAAAAGTGCCAGTGGGGGACCAGAGAAGAGGAGATTCAGGGCTGTCCTGTGCAATTCCATTGTACAGAGCAGATAAATATATATATTTTTTAAAAACATTAATTACTTTAAGGGCCCGGTCACACCACAGTTCACTGCTACACGTGTTTTCATGCATTGCAATTTTGGTATCCCCACAGGTAAAAAAAAAAAAAAAAAAAAAAAAGAAAGATTTCCCCCCATAACGGTGTATTCATCTGTATTTTAGTTGTGCTTTGAAAAAGACATCTAACAAAAATGTGTGGTATTTCCCACATTTAAAAGCACCAGCATATTATGCAGCGCTGTACAAAGTTCACCATTCACAGATTGTCAGCACTTCTGCCCCAGTGGTGCTGACAATCTATGTCCCTATCATACCCACAAGCATGCTCTCAGTGTAGGCGTTCCACCACAACACAAGAAATTATACGCCATTTATAAATGGCCATCAGAAAATTTTGGGGACAGGATTTCACAATTGGCCAGGTTTTGTAATGCTCTTCCAACACAGACAAATATGTTGCTCTAATCCAGTGGTTCTCAACCTGTGGGTCCCGACCCCTTTGGGGGTCAAACGACCCTTTCACAGGGGTCCCCAAAGACCATCAGAAAACACATATTTCCGATGTGTAAAGAGCAGCTACTGTGTTGAAAGCAGCTACTGTGTTGAAAGCAGCTACTGTGTTGAAAGCAGCAGTATTGGAGGTAAAACGACACTCATGAATTATAATTACTGGGTAAATAATTTTATGGTTGGGGGTCACCACAACATGAGGAACTGTATTAAAGGGTCACAGCATTAGGAGGGTTGAGAACCACTGCTCTTATCACTTCATCTCAGTGGACAACAGAAAAAATAATCCAGAAATTGTGGGTTTGTGCGCCAATTCTTTATAGGATAGCAGGTCATCGATCACCTGGCATAGCAGGTCACCTGCTACAGAGCTTTCCCCCATTTCCCCAACAGGTAGCAAAAGGTGTACTACCCCCTTAACCGGATACTATTCAATCCTCACAATAGACCGTAATACAGGGCCGACACCAGTGGCTGTATATATTTACACTTTCATCATCAAGGGTGCTAAAAATTTTTTAAACCAGACCCTTACCCACTTTCAATTAAAGCGGAGGTGCAGCCAAAATAAACTAAAATCAGCACAAGAGGTATAACTTAGCCTACGTTCACACTAGCCTTGTTAGCAAGCGGCAGACAGGCGTTTGGGAAGCGTTTTTACCGTTTCCCAAACGCCTGGGAAAATTCTGCACATTGCAGCGCATAGTGCTGTTCAAGCGGGAGCGTTAGCGTCGCGGCAAAACGGACGCCTCTGGTCGAGTCAGGAGGAGTTGAAGCCTCCTATTCAAGTCTATGGTGCTGCTCCGCAAATGCCCGGCCGGCGTTTGCGGAGCGGTAACACCAAACTTCATTATAGGCATTTGTGGGGTTTTTTATGCTTGGCAAACGCCTAGCAACCGCCGCTAAACCGTGCATGTGGCGTTTGCAAAGCGTTAAAAACGCTCTGAAAATGCCAGACCAACGCTATAGGGGTGTTTGGCAAGAGTTGGAAAAACAGTCAAGTGTGAACGAGCCCTTACAGCCAAAGTAGGATGTGTCCCTTGTGCTGATACCTATTAGGTGAAATCCTCCTCGGTCTTAAAGTGGACCTGAAGTCTAGTGAGGATGCGTCATCTTATATGGTACATATGGTAATTGTACCAAGCGGCTACCCAAAAAAAAAATAAATAAATCTACGTTTCGTTTTAAATTGCTCCTGAAAAATCATGCGCACTCTGCGCGTAGACACCTTGCTCTGTAACCTAAGGCTAAACATCATTCTTAGGATTCCGTCGCAAGAGAATTTGCCAGTGACAGGATTGCTAGAAAATGCAGTGAGAACATTTACCTGCTTTCTATGTGGCATTCCCTCCCTGGATTTGGCAAATGCTTAAAAATTAAGTTGTGAGAAAGCCATGCCTCACTCATCCAGCTAGCAAACACTTGCAAGCAAATGCGTTGCACTGCCTGCATATGTCCTCTAAAGCCATCCTATCGCCGGCAGGTTCTCACTAGGAAAGGATCGCTAATCTGTAAAGCAATATAACCGCAGTGCAAGATCATCTAAGGCAGTGTTTTTCAACCTTCTTTCAGTCAAGGCACCCTTTAAAATTATGGACAGTCCCGAGGCACCCTTTAAAATTATGGACAGTCTTGAGGCACCCTGTAAAATTATGGACAGTCTTGAGGCACCCTGTAAAATTATGGACAGTCTTGAGGCACCCTGTAAAATTATGGACAGTCTTGAGGCACCCTGTAAAATTATGGACAGTCCCGAGGCACCCTGTAAAATTATGGACAGTCCCGAGGCACCCTGTAAAATTATGGACAGTCTTGAGGCACCCTGTAAAATTATGGACAGTCTTGAGGCACCCTGTAAAATTATGGACAGTCCCGAGGCACCCTGTAAAATTATGGACAGTCTTGAGGCACCCTTTAAAATTATGGACAGTCTTGAGGCACCCTTTAAAATTATGGACAGTCCCGAGGCACCCTGTAAAATCATGGACAGTCCCGAGGCACCCTGTAAAATCATGGACAGTCTTGAGGCCCCCTGTAAAATCATGGACAGTCTTGAGGCCCCCTGTAAAATCATGGACAGTCTTGAGGCACCCTGTAAAATCATGGACAGTCTTGAGGCACCCTGTAAAATTATGGACAGTCTTGAGGCACCCTGTAAAAGGCACCCTGTAAAATTATGGACAGTCTTGAGGCACCCTGTAAAATTATGGACAGTCTTGAGGCACCCCCTGTAAAATTATGGACAGTCCCGAGGCACCCTGTAAAATTATGGACAGTCCCGAGGCACCCTGTAAAATTATGGACAGTCCCGAGGCACCCTTTAAAATTATGGACACCCCACCCTGAGGCACCCTTTAAATTATTTAAAATTATGGACGGTCTTGAGGCACCCCATTCTAAATGTGAAAAACTATTCTAATAGTTTTATATACCTCAGCAATATCCACATAGGTCACCCAACATCAGAGGCAGGGGCGGACTGACCATTTGGAAATTCGGGTCCTGCCCGAGGGTCCGGGGTCAGTAGGGGGCCCCATGAGATGCCCCTGGTACCTTTTTCATAGGCTTTTTTTGAGTTTGGGCAAGGACACAGGGGCCCCATGATCCCCTATTGCCCGGGGGCCCCATAAGTTGTCGGTCCGCCCCTGATCAGAGGCGATTTATTCTTCCAAAGCAAATACACTTTTGCACACTGGTACTGACTAGTATTCCATTGTTTCTCTCCTCCCTCAGTTTTTCTCCATCACTCAGCTAATGTGACCCCAGCACTGAAGGAGAGGGGCAGGGGAGGGTAAAACTAGGATGCTGTGCAGGAAACTGACATCCTCATCAACTGATGATGTAATTGGTTGTCAGGACGCTGGCGGCTAGAAGGTCGTAATGGTCCACAATGAAAAACTGTGGCTTTTTGTAACTAAAAGGCAGGCTTGTTCCACCGGCTGGCTTGTATACAGGTTTTGGGCAATTTTGAGACATTTTGCCAAGGCACCCCTGAAGAAACCTCAAGGCAACCTGGTTGAGAAAGGCTGATCTAAGGCACTGATGGCTCTGATGTGAGATTTGGTAGTGTCCATTTTGTACTGCTCATGGTCCTCTCCTTGCTGAAGAGGTTGTACCTGAGGTCCTACAAGGATCTCCTCTGCTTTATTTTCCATAGGAATCTGTTTTTTCATCTCTCCTGCTGCTTTGTGATCATCAGTCTCCAGTCATCAAACAGGCAGCCGTTACATGAGGAAGCAAAGCCCTGCTCCTCACAGCAACAGCACAAAAAGAGCCATGAAAGAATATGGATACCTATCTATATCTCTCGCTCTATGGGGGCCTATAGGCAATACTCAAACTGGCCCCTCCTGAAATTTAAAAAAATAAAATTGGTTTAAATTCATTTTATTTTCCCCTTTAGGCTACCTCTCTATACATGCATCTTAATCTATACTGAGACAACAATACCGAAGAGACCCAGGCAGGCTTATCGCTTCATATTCTGAGATGTAGCATTAAAAAGTGAGGTAAACTCTGGGGCCTGAATATGTCACATGGGTTCTATCTAGAGAGATTTTTATTCATTAAATTCCATTTTCATTGTTTAAAAAAACAAAAAAACACAAAGGGGGGGGGCAGGGGTTATATTTTTAGTCAACTGGATTTTACCACAGGGATTTGTGGCTGCATGCTCAAATTACTACCCAGACTGCTGTGACAAAAACACAGACTATATAATAAGTCTGAAATATGGTAGGAAGGCACCAGTTTTCCCTTCTGTTTGCCCAATACAAATCTAATATCCAAAAAAAAAAAAAAAAAAAAAAAAAAAAAAAAAAACAACCCTTAAAGGGTCAGTGCTACTAGTACACCAAGATTTTGGCAGATGCAAATACATCCGTTTTAAAGCTCCTTTGGATCTGTGGTGATGAGATTGTTGTGTTCAGGTTGCCAGGTCTGCATGGCTGCCATGACAGTTACAATGGACATCACTTCCATTGCTGGAGATTTACATTAAAGAGAAAGCAAAACCGGGAGCCAGAACACACCAAGCTGGGCATAAACACAGCTAGGAATTACGTGCTTATGTTCCAAAAAGATAAAAACCAACAAGTGACTGGATGCAATGGTTGCGGAGGGGTCCCCTTAACCATGTTGTCACATAGCTATGCATTTTTCTCTGAGATTGTGGTGTAGGGGGATCCATTCCCTCCACTCAGGTCTCAGATTACACTCCGCTGTGTGTGTGTGGTCAGAGCCCTGCCCCTGGAAGCTCAGAAAATCTATGTAAATTCTGGACTGTACACGGCTACAGAGAGGATGCTGCCGATAAGCAGGTACAACGTATGTAGGAAAATTATTCTATCCACATTGTAGAAAAATGGAGTAATCTTTTTGTTCTAGCTCACTGAAAAAAAACCTAAAAGGATTAGAATTCTGACAAAGCCACCGACGTCTCTCAGGGACCCCAGAAAAGGCCTCTTTCCACCAGACATTCCAGCTCAGCATATCCCCATCATGAAGTCTCTCTCCTTCTGCTGCAGTCTGCAACAAAATCATTTTAAAGGAAAAGTGGCAGGTTCTTTGTTATTTCATTGAAATCATCCCTTCCATTTTGTCACATTAATACAACTGCCACAAAAACAATGTTACCTTGCATGGATGAACTGCTCTTTAAAACTGGACACAAAGCAAACATTTGCCAAACACCTTTTGCCTCCAACATGACACTTAACCAAAGCATTAAAAAAAAAAAAAAAATCTACCCAGAGAAAGAGGAACATGTTCTAAATCAGCAGGACGCACATTTTGTTGTGTTGCAACTATAAATCTATAAACCGGTTTGCCCACAGGAATCTAGGCCTCATTGTTCATCGGATATTGTGTGATAAACTTGGTGTTGACGAAAAAAAAAAAAATGGGGTCACGTCCAAACATGTTATAACTGAAGCAGTGTTTGACTGTAATTGCTTTGGCTAAGTAAGCCATGGGCCAAGGTGAGTGGTGTAAGGGTTACATTCCACAGGGTAGCCTATCCTTTAAAATGTGTTTTAGTTTTTTGGGGTTTTTTTTTTTTTTTTTTTTTGTTTTGTTTTTTTTTTTTTTTTAGGGAGTTAGAGGCACTGTCAGGTTTTTATTGCTGTGTCTCCAAGTTAGGGACAATTACTCTTTAAATTATCTTGATCACCAAAAATAAAAGTCAGTCAATCTTCCAATAGGGACAAAGGTTTAAATTCACATTTACCTGTAGTTCAGCTTTAAAGTGGTTATAAAGCCAAAATATTTTTTTACTTTAATGCATTCCTTGTATTAAAGGCAAAAAATATTTTTATGCATCAGTATCCCCACTCAACCCCCTTATACTTACCTGAGCCCTCATTTGATCCAGCACTGTGCCCGTTGCACCTCCTCTCCCCCCTCACTTTCTGGTCTCACAGGCTTTGCAAGATGATGGGGCCCGTCGCTTCTGCTGCTGTCAAAGGCAGTGATTTTTGGGGGGCAGAGCAGAGTCCCTCTGTGGGGGGTGAGCTTGCACGAGAGCCCCCATAGAAAGCAACTTCCTATGGGGGCATATGGATCAAGGGAGGAGCCAGGAGCACCAACATCGGTGGACTCAGGCAGCAGTACGGGGCCATTCTAATTCCATAAATACAGGTAAGAATAAACCTGAATTAAAAAAAAGCATTTACAATCACTGTATCAGCCTGGACTATAATGGTTTATGGCTGCCAAGGATCCCACACGAAATTACAGGATAATAGGTGGGATAGGGGGGGAAATCATCATTTGCTATCCATAATGTTAATAAGAATGCAGTCAATTTAGCTTTACTCTTAAGGCTACGTTCACACTAGCCTTGTGTGCAGGCGGCAGAGAGGCGTTTGGGAAGCGTTTTTACCGCTTCCCAAACGCCTCTGCCAATTCTGCACATTACAGCACATGGTGCTGTTCTAACGGGAGCGGTTGCGTCGCGGCAAAACAGATGCCTCTGGACGAGTCAGGAGGCTTTGAAGCCTCCTATTCTCGTCTATGGTGCCGCTCCGCAAACACCCAGCCGGCGTTTGCGGTGAGGTTGCGACGCGGTTGCGGAGCGGGGTAACACCACTCAAACTGCATTTTAGGCGTTTGTGGGGCGTTATTAACGCTCGGCAAACGCCTAGCAACGGCCGCTAAACCGCGCATGCGGCGTTTGCGGAGCGTTTGCCGAGCGGAGCGTTTGCCGAGCGTTAATAACGCTCCGCAAACGCCGGACCAACGCTTGCCAAACGCTATAGGGGCGTTTGGCAAGCGTTGGCAAAACAGCCTAGTGTGAACGAGCCCTAAGAGTTACCAAAAAAATAAAAAGTGTCTTGGATTTCTGTCCAATTTTTCTAAATTAATTTTCAATATTTATACTGCAACACAAAGCACTAAAGATTACATAAAAACCATTTACACCCTTCCAAGTCCCAAAAGGGGACTTCAAACTAAAAGCCCTAAGCAAAACACACACTGCAGTCAGTTTGATGAGGAGCCCATAAAAGCGAGCACCACATTTTGGAATAGTGGGAATAAACACCACCACCAGAAAGAACCCCATGTAGGGGATTCCAGTTGTTTGCCGGGGTAGGCTTTCAGAAGGGATGAGTTTTCAGCGTGCGCCTAAAAGTGAGCAGGGTAGGCGATAGCCTGATAGCTTGGGATAGGGAGTTCCAGAGGATGGGTGAAGCCCCTGAGAAATCCTGGAGACGAGCATGGGAGGAGGAGACAAGAGAGCAGGAGGTCTTGCGAAGAGTGGAGAGTACGGTTTGGGTGGTATTTAGAGACAAGGTCGGTGATGTAGTTGGGGGCAGTGTTATGAACAGCTTTGTACGTCAGTGTTAGTGTTAGGAATTTTATCCGTTGGGCAATTGGAAGCCAATGGAGGGATTGGCAGAGAGGGGTGGAGGACACTGAATGGAGACCAGTGGAGGGATTGGCAGAGAGGGGGTGGCAGATACAGAACGGTTAGTAAGGTGGATGAGTCTGGCAGCAGCATTCATGATGGACTGGAGTGGGGATAGCCTGCGATGAGGTCGGCCAATGAGGAGGGAGTTACAATAGTCAAGGCGTGATAGAGATTATATATATACACATATATACACACACATATACACACACATATATATACACACACACG